GAGCACATGAGAGGGGGGAGGGTCAGAGGGAGAAGCAGACTCCCTGCCGAGCAGGGAGCCCGATGCAGGACTCCATCCAGGGACTCCAGGATCATGACCTGAGCCGAAGGCAGTCGCTTAACCAACTGAGCCACCCAGGCGCCCATCTGGAGCTGTTCTGAAATGTGGGCCAGCAGGGTTTGAGCATGGATCGGATGTGTGGGTAGTGAAAGAAAGAAAGGCGTCAAAGATGACGGATGGAGACAGGGAAGACTTACAATGGGAGCACATTTTAGAGGAAGAGCATAGGTTCAATTTAGGGGAAGCTAAATTCAAGATATCTCCTAGGCGTTCAAGTAGAGACCTGGAGTAGACCAGACCTTTGGATTCGAGGGAGATGGGGGAGAGGAGGAAGCGGTGGGGAGAGAAATCGGAGGACTGGAAGAAGGGGTGTCAGTCCTGCTGACAGGTCAGGGAAGAGGAAGAGTGAGCACAGACCTTGGGATTTGGGGGATGGGCCCCTCCCCCACTGTAGCCTCAATCCAGGGCTTAGTCAGACAAAAGAGAGGTGTAACCACTTCCCCAAGGCCATGGCTGACCTAGTTCTTTCAGCTGCACTTAACAGCTCTGACCACACTGTCCTGTAACTTTGTGAGATTTGTCCATTTTGACACAGCTTTAGATCAAGAGTCTGTGAACCAAGGCCTCAGGCCAGATCTATTTTAGCAAATAAAGTTTTATTGGGACACAACCATGTTCATTTGGGCCCCAAGGCTGCTTCCACACTCCAACAGAATTGAGTAGTTGCTGGGGATCAAATGGCCTGCAAAGCCAAACATATTTACCGTCTGGCCTTTTCAAGGGCAAGTTTGCTGACCCCTTCTCTCTCACGGTGTTTTGCTCTGTTAAAGGAATACCCAAGATATTCAGTAGGACATTTAGGTAGTCCCAGTTTTTTTGCTCTTATGAAAATGCTCCAATTAAACATATTTAACTGTGTTCCCTTGAGCCCATATGGTACACAGCAAGTGGAATTCCTGGTCTGTAGGATATAGGCATCTTCAGTTTCAGTAGATTTTGCCAAATTGCTCTTTAGTGTGGCTGAAAAGATTTACACTCCCATCAGCTGTGTGGAGAGTTCCTATTTTCCCCATCTTTCTCTAAAACGTGGTATGATATTAGTTCATATTAGTTAGCAGTATTCTATTGTCCATGGTTCCTCTGCATCTTCTGGCTGTGAGTGATAGAAGGCTGTGCCTTCTCCTTTCTTCTTCTTGGCTTGGTGCTCTAGCTGGGACCTTGATACAATGTTGCAATGTGTTCAAGGACAAAATGCAAAATTTTGTTCCTGGCTTTAAAGGGAATAATGCTTAACATTTTACCATATAGTATGGTGCTTTACCATAAAGTATGATGTTTGCTGCAGGGTTTTTTGGGGGAGCGGGGGAGAAGTCACCTAGAAAACCAGCTGGATTATTTATTTTTTTTTTAGGTATATGGCTACTCATTTATCTATTTCTTTTTGAATTAGTCCTGGCAAATTATCTTTTTCTAGAAAATTGTCCATTTCATCTAAGTTTTAAATTGGCATAAAATTTATAACATTCTTATTTTTTTAACGATTTTATTTATTTGACAGAGAGAGCACAAGTAGGCAGAGAGGAGGCAGAGGGCTGGAGAAGCAGGCTCCTCACTGAGCAGGGAGCCCGATGTGGGACTTGATCCAGGACCCTGGGATCATGACCTGAGCCGCAGGCAGACACTTAATTGACTGAGCCACCCAGGCGCCCCTATAACATTCTTATTTTTATCATTTCTGCTAGAAACGATAGTTAGTGTCCATTTTTCACATTAATATTCATTTTATTGGTCTCTTCAAAGATCCCACTTTGTGGTCCATCCTAGTGTTTTTGTTTTCTATTTCAATTTCTGCTCTTATTATCTTCTTTTCACTTTCTTTGGGTTGACACTATTACTCCTTTTAAAAATTCTTTAGGGGCACCTGGGTGGCTCAGTTGGTTAAGCATCCCAGTCTTGATTTCAGCTCAGGTCATGATCAGGGTCATGAGATCAGCCCGAGTAAGTCTCTGCACTCAGTGGGGAGTCTGCTGGAGATTCTCTCTCTCCCTCTGTCCCTACACCCCACACTCTCTAATTTGAGAGAGTGTGTGTGCACATGAGCAGGGGGAGGGGGGGGGGAGAGAGAAGGAGGTAGGGAGGGGGGTAGAGAGAATGAATCTCCAGCGGACTCCCTGCTGAGTGCAGAGCCCAACATGGGGCTCAATAGCAGGACCCTGAGATCATGACCTGAGCTGAAACCATGAGTCAGCTGCTCAACCAACTGAGCCACCCAGGTGCCCCTCTAATAAAGGAATCATATATATATTTTTTTTTTTACATTTTATTTGAGATTGTGCAAGCAGGAGGAGGGGCAGAGGGAGAGAGAATCACAAGCAGACTCTGCACCCAGTGTGGAGCTCCATCCCATGACCCCCAAGATCATGACCTGAGCCAAAATCAAGAGCTGGACGCTTAACTGACTGAGCCACCCAGGTGCCCCTGATAAATAAATCTTAAAAAAATTTCTTTGGGGCGCCTGGGTAGCTCAGATGGTTGTGCGTCTGCTTTCGGCTCAGGTCATGATTTCAGGGTCCTGGGATCGAGCCCTGCATCGGGCTCCCTGCTTGGCGGGGAGCCTGCTTCTCCCTCTCCTTCTACTGTTCCCCCTGCTTGTGCTCTCTCACTCTCTCTGTCAAATAAATAAGTAAATTTCTTTAACACTCTGCTTGTAAATTTTCTGTATTTCTTACCTACTATAATAAAGCTATAAATCTGCCAAATGATGCTTTAGTTGCCTTACCCCTACTATGAGTTTTTATATGTATTCTCATTTTTTGATCTAAATAGTTTTCATTTCTACAGAATTTCATCTTTGAGTAAAAAGCTTTTTAGATGTTTAAACGTCCAAACATTTGGAGTTTACTTGGCTCTGGTCTGTGGTCACAGAAATATGGTCTCCATGGAATGGACGGTATATTTGATACCTTTGAGATTTATCTTGGGGCTATTTTTAGGTCATTTTTTTTGTAAATGTTTCTTGTGTGCTTAAAAGTAACAATATTGGGTTCTGGGTTCACAGTTCTATCAGGGTTCATTAATATCTTCTATATCCTTTATTTGGCTGTTGGGTCAATCAGTTACTGAAAGAGGTCTTAAATCTCACTGTGATGAAAGATCTGGCAATTTCTCCTTGTATCCTATCACTTTTATACATTTTCAGTCTTTTAAACCTCTAACTTGTATATTTTACAAGAATTATGTCTTCCTAAAAGTTGTACTTTTCATCATTTTGTGGTCACCCTCTTTATCTCTAATAATGTCTTTTGTCTTAAAGCCTATTTTGTCTGATTTTGCTATAGATACACCTTCTGGTTAGCTTTTCTCTAGTATACCTTTTCCCATCATTTTACTGTTGGTGCACTTATGTTTTTCTTATTTTAAAGATTTTATTTCTTTGACAGAGCACAAGCAGGGGAAGTGGCAGGCAGAGGCAGAGAGAGAAGCAGGCTCCCTGCAGAGCAAGGGAAGCCCAATGTGGGACTCAATCCCAGGATCCCAGGATCATGACCTGAGCCGAAGGCAGTCGCTTAACCAACTGAGCCACCCAGGTGCCCGGTGCACTTACATTTTAAATGTCCTCTTGTAAACACCATGTAGAGCTGCATTTTATTTTCCTTGGCCAGTCTGATCATCTGTTTAAATAGGTGAATGTAAAACCTTTTTTTACCTCTGGTTTTGTATCCTATACCATTCTTTTTTACTACCTTTTTCTCCTTTTCTGCATTGGCAGTTACACTTTCCATTTTTTTTTAATATTTTATTTATTCATCCGACAGAGAGAGAGCACACAAGCAGGGGCAGCGGCAGGCAGAAGGAGAGGGAGAAGCAGACTCCCTGCCGAGCAGGGAGCCCCACACGGGGCTCGATCCCAGGACCCTGGGCAGACGTTTAACCAACTGAGCCACCCAGACGCCCCTACACTTTCCATTCTTTTAATGATCCCTCATAAGTATCTGAAACACACACTTGGATATACAAAGCTGGACAATTACCAGTATCTTTATCCTCCACCCCTTAAATAAGAGCACTTGAACTGATTACCCACTTCCGTCTGACATGGTGCTGTGTCCTCTCGTTTTGTACTCCACAAATTGATCATCATGTTCACGTTCCACGGTGTTTTAGACCTACTTCCATGTTTACCGGTCGAGTTGCTTACCATTATCCTATCTTCTCTTTAGAGTTCTGCAAATTCATTACAAAGTGCCAAGATGCTACTTTTGTTTATCCTGCTCTGGACTTTATGTGAGGATCCTGGTCTTTAGTCAAGTTTGGAAGCTCTTCTTCAGTAACTGCCTCTCCCACTTCTTTTCTCTCCTCCTGGAATTCTGACGGACCTGTCCCTTCCCCTTTTACATTGTCCACCACCTTGTTTCTCTGGTCAGTAGCTTCTGCTCTCTCCTCCAGCTCAGTGACTTACCTTCTGCTGTGTCTAATCTACTTTCTGGTCTCATCCTTTGAGACCTGAATTTCAATGGTGTTTCTAATTCTAGAAATTCCTTTTAAAACCTGTGTGATTCTTTTTAGCATCTTGCTCTTTCATGTTTTAATCCCCCCCACCCCACCCTAGCTTTTTTTCCTGTAACCATGAGCTCTACGAAGGTGAGGAGGTCTTTAGGTTCGCTGTTGTCACCCCAGTGCCTCGCACCATCTCTGGAACGGAACAGACTGAGTGTGCCGTGGGATGACTTAGCACCAGTGGGAACAGAGAGCCGCTGAACCCCAGACTGGCCCGTGCGCAGCGGGTCAGCCCGCCCAACTGCCCGCAGCCCCGCCAGTCTCTCAGCCCCGGCCTCGGGGAGAGGGGCCGGCAGCCCATGACGTCACAGGACTGTGACGCGCCGGGGAGCCCCGCCCCTTCGCGGCGCTTGCCCGGAGTCCAGCTCTCTGCGCCGTGACGTCACGGGTCCGGGCGGGCGGGTTTTGCGTCGGCCCAATGGGAGCGGCGCGCCGGCCTCCCCTTTAAGGAATGTTGTGACCTGACGTCACCCGGGCGAGTTACCTCCCCGAGCCACCGCCGCCAGGCTCAGCTCACAGCCCCGGAGCCCTTGAGCGCGAGGCGCGGAGCCCCCGAACCTCAGAGCCCCAAGCCGCGCGCCCCGGAGCCCCGGCCTGCGCGCCCCGCCGGGCCCGCGCGATGCCCTCGGACCGGCCTTTCAAGCAGCGGCGGACCTTCGGTGAGGCCCGGCGGGCGGTCGGCGGGCGCGGGGTGGGGGCGCCGCGACTGACCCGGACTGCCGCAGGCGACGTCAGCCCCGTGACGTCAGACTCGGGCTAGACCCCCGAGCCGGGAGGCAGGTTCAGGCCTGGGCCGGGGCCTCGCCTCGGAGCCCGGCGGGTGCCAGGCCCTGGGGCCTGACGGCCCTGGGGGCGGGGGCTCGGGGGGGCGGGGCCGGGGACAGGCGGGGCGAACGGCGAGCGGGACCTCTCTCGGCCTCACTGCCCGCCCACTGTCCGCAGCCGACCGCTGTAAGGAGGTGCAGCAGATCCGCGACCAGCACCCCAGCAAGATCCCGGTGAGTCCCGCCGCCCCCTCCCTTCCCCGCGGCCCCAGGCCCCTCCCGGCTCACGCATCCCTCGCCCCACCCCTAGGTGATCATCGAGCGCTACAAGGGTGAGAAGCAGCTGCCGGTCCTGGACAAGACCAAGTTCCTGGTCCCAGACCATGTCAACATGAGCGAGTTGGTCAAGATCATCCGGTGTGTGGGCAGCAGCAGTCATAGGGGGCAGGGGTCCTTTTGGGGATGGCGGGGCCCTCGCGGGACCGGGCCCTGAATCCCTGTTTTGGAGAGGTTAGGAAAGGCCAAGGTCAGGGCTGGGGTCAGTGTCAGGTCAGAGGTGAGGGCTTCTAGAAGGGCCTGGGATGGGTGTGAAGACCGCCTCAGAATCCTTTTGGAGAGGGAGGTGGGGGGGGGGTCAGGGCTCCACCCACCCAGCAGCCAGGCCTCTTCACCGTAGGCTTGCTCTTCTGCCCACCCCAGGCGCCGCCTGCAGCTGAACCCCACGCAGGCTTTCTTCCTGCTGGTGAACCAGCACAGCATGGTGAGCGTGTCCACACCCATTGCGGACATCTATGAGCAGGAGAAGGACGACGATGGCTTCCTCTACATGGTCTACGCCTCCCAGGAAACCTTCGGCTTCTGAGCCAGCAGTAGGGGGGGGGAGGTTTGGCCTGGGCGTGGGGGAGGGGGGAGGGCCCTGTCAGGCTCTGCCCAGGGAGCTCCTGGCTCCTGAACTTAACTGCCTCTGCCCGAGTTGGGCTAGGCAGGGATGCTGCCCCCCCTAGCCAGGGGGCACCAACTACACCTACGCTGCCCCTGGGTGGATCCTGGGCCATTGTTAGGGTTGCCCCGGGTGCTGGCTGGGATGGGGGAGGGTAAGGAACAGCCCCCAGCACCCCTGCTGGGTGTGATTTGTCTTTTTTTTAGGCCCCTGCCCATCTGCCCCTCCCTCACCTGAGGCGCTGCCCCCCCCCCCCCCCCCCCCCCCCCCCCCCCCCCCCCCCCCCCCCCCCCCCCCCCCCGCCTGGATCTGCCCACCCCTGAAGGACTGGCCCCTGGCTCACCTGGTCTTGACATGGTGTATGGATCTGTGGTCATTGTTCCTCTGCAGAATAAAGATTGCTCAGGCCTGCCTGGCCCTTTGCCTCCAGCTGCTTGGGTTGTGGGGAGGGCTGCCAGTGGGGCTGTCTCACACCAGTCTCAGCTCGTCAGGGAACAGACTTGTGTGCTGTGGACCTGGGGCTCATTCTGGAAACCCACACCAGTGTGTAGTATATGGGGGTGGTGTTCAAGGACAAGTCCACCCTTTCCAGGAGGTCAGTGTAAGCCCAAGATAGATTTCATAACAAAAAACATTTATTAAGTAGCCACAACCTAACAAATCCTGCTCCCCTGCTTCTTTCCCTATCCAGCATCGGAGGGGGCTCCCTGGTCTGCAGAGCCAAAAGAGTAGGGTCCAAGGGGAGGTGCTCCTGGCTACTCCCCACCAGCCTTGCTGCCAGCCCTGGCTCCCCTCTGGTGCCAGAGCTTCGGAACCCTGGACTCAAACCTCATTTGCCTGAGGACTCCTCTGCTGGCAACTCCGGCTCGAGGGCTGGGCTCAGCTCCGGGCCCTTCCACCCCCTGAAGTCCATGCAGCCCTGGGCCCAGCCAGGCCTACTTGAGCACGAGCATGGCCTCTGTGCCGTCCTTGGCAGTCAAGTAGAGCCCATGGGTGAGGTAGTACTCGCGCCGCAGGAAGGCATAGAAGTAATCCGAGATGAGCAGGATCTGCGGGGAGAGAGGAGCTGTCAGCAGCGCTGAGGAACCTCCCCCGGAACCTTGGGTTGCTGAGGGGCTAGGCAGGTTTTGGGGAGACCCTGCAAGGTCTTGCACTTCAGAAGTTGCCTGTACTGCCCCATCCCATCCCACCCCTGTGGGTTTGTGCCACCCACCCAAGCTCCGGCCTCTGAACTCCAGAATGCTACGTCTGCACCCAGAGGCCCCTCTGCCTCACTGCTTGGGTGCCCAGAGGCTCCTCCATGGTACAGCTGAGCCCCTGCCAAAGCTGCTGCTCCCTGGGAGCCCATACCACCCCCCCGGCCCCGCAGCTTCCTTCCAGGTGCTGAGGCCACAGAATCACCTGACACTTTACCTGCCGGACACAAGGCTGCTAAGTCCTGGCAGTTCTATCTCCCAGACTCTCTCAGATCCATCCATTTCTACTTGTCCTTAGAGCTACCACCCTGGACAAAGCCACTGTCATCTAAACAACAGCAGTCTCCTCTTCGGGCTCCTTGGTCCCAAGCCTCCCACCCCTGTAACCCTCGCCACGTCCAGTCCATTCTCCCTAGCAGCCAGAGGTTGCTTTTCAGGACAAAATCTCGTCCTGTTCCTTCCCAGCTGAAAGGTCCTCTAAAGGCTTCCGAGGGCTCTTAAGGCAAAGATCCAACTCCTCTGGGGCTCTGAGGCCTTGCACCTGGTCCCTCACCCTCTCTCCTGCTCCACCTCACTCAGCTCCAGCGACACTGGCCTCTCCCCCTGCTGCAGGATCTCTGCTGTTCCCTCTGCCGGGAATGTTCCCTTCCCTTTCATCCAGTCAACATCTCCTTACCCTTCAGGTCTCAGGAAGGATCCTGATTCCTTAGAGAAGCCCCCCCACCCCCACCCCCCAGATTGGGTCATGGCCCCCATTAACCTCTATTTCTGAACACAAATTCATCCAGATTAGTTTTTCTTTCATCTGTGTGACTGCCTGATGGCTGTGGCTCCTCCCCTGGACTGGGAAGGTCCCCACAGGGTTCTGCCACCCTGGTATCCATGCCCAGCTCAGTCTGCCTTTCCTGTATGGGCCACAGAATTAAAAGGGCCCTAGAAGCTCAGGCTACCATCCCCCTCGCAGAGGCCCAGAGAGGAACAAGGACTTGCGCCGTCTTACAATCCCATTATATTCCAAGACCCCCAGGGCCTGGGGCAGGAGGAGGGCAGAGGGGTTCACAACCCCAGGTTTCAGCCACTCAGAGGCCTCTTAGACCATCAGCACCAACCACCTGTTGGCACAGATGAGAAGATGGAAGCCCAGAGGAGGGGGAACACCTGGCTAGGGTCTGTAGAGCAGGTCAGAGGTTGAGCTGAATCTGGGATCTTGGCCTCTGACCCACAGAGACTCCTGTCCTGGGCAGCCTCATACCGTGGGCAGGAAGAACATGGAGGGGCCTGAAGGAAGAACTGAGGACCAACACCAGGGCTGGCCTCAGGACAAAGTCCTGCCATTTTATGAGCAGAGGAGCCCATCTGGAAGGCTGATGGTCTCCATCCTATAGATGAGGAAACTGAGGCACAAAGGGTTCAGTAGTTGGCCTAAGTCTACACCAGGAGAGCTGGCCTGGTGGCCATGACCGTGCAAGGCGACGCACCTGGGGTCCAGTCTGCCACAGGGCAGAGAACTTGCAGCTGAGGGTATCAGCAGAGCAGACAGCCCAGGGAGCCCCGGAGGCTTTGCCCCACAGCTGCCGGTGGGGGGCAGGTACCACAGCAAAGGCTGACCTCACATCCTGCAGCCCCTTTCTCACCCAGACCCAAGGCGCCCGGTCTGGGGATGGAGAGCCTGGAGCTGTGGCTGAGCGGGTGGGGGTTGACCCCCGAACCAGGTCCGATGAGGGTCAAATACAAAATCACAATTCACAATGAAACAAAAGGAACCAACTCCAGTGTCACAATCAGCTGCACAAGGATTAGAAAGTCAAAATACTAGGTATTAGGTCGAACCATATGAAATAGCCATTTCTGCAGATCAAAAATGGTTGAATACTGGAAACTTCATATAGTTCAATCTAATATAAAATGGAAAAAAAAGTCAAGAAATACAAATAGCAGAGTACGCATGGTATTTAGAAGAACCAGAGCAAATAACTCTCAGGCCATAGGGAGTTATTCTATTTCCTTATAATCTTTAACATTGTAAAGTATGTATTTGTATTACATTGATTAAAATATCAATTTAAAAAACCAGCCAATAAATGACCGAATAAATAAATGAGGGAGAATTCCTTTTGGAATCCTTACAGAAAAATTCCAATAACATATGTAGACATTCCCTCCTCCAGGAGGTGGAGCTTAATTCCTGCCTGCCGCCCCCCGCCCCCCGCCGCCTGCGGGCAGGCCAGATGCAGTAACTCACTTCCAAAGAACAGTGCAGGGAAAGAGAAAATAGTAATTCTACACTGGAGAAGCCCCAAACACCGTCTTGAACAAATGAGGAAGGGTAACATCAGTATGAGATCAGGTGGCTACCGTGTACTGGGCATGGTACCTGAGCATTCCAAAAATCCAAACCCCAGTCTTATGATGAGAAAAGCATCAGATAAACCCAAAGTGGGGACACTCTACAGGAGACCTGGCCAGTGCTCAAGACTGTCCAGGTCATGAGAAATTGGGACAGAGTGAGAAAGTGGGCAGAGGACATGGGAGAGACAGAACACATTAATGTGGTCTCCTGGCTTGGATCCTGGGTGTGGGGCATATGGGAACTTTCTGTATCTAAAGTTATTCTGAAATTTAGAAGTTTATTTAAGGGGCACCTGGGTGGCTCAATCAGTTAAGCGTCTGCCTTTGGCTCAGGTCATGATCCTGGGGTCCTGGGATCGAGTCCTGTGTCAGGCTTCCTGCTCGGTGGGGAGCCTGCTTCTCCCTCCCCCGGCTGCTTGTGCTCTCTCTCTCTCTCAAATAAATAAAATCTTAAAAAAAAAAGTTTATTTTAAAAAAGCAGTGTACTGGAGTGCCTGGGTGCTCAGTCGGTTAAACATCTGACTCTTGATATCAGCTCAGGTCTGGATCTCAGGGTTGTGAGTTCAAGCCCTGCACTCAGCTCCACAATGGGCGTGGAGCCTACTTTAAAAAAAAGAAAATTAAAGAAAGCAATGTACTATTGTTATTTGCAACAATATAAATGAACCTCAAAAAATATGCTGCTGAATGAAAGGCAGCTTCGGAAAACGTACACGTTAAGAGTTGTGTTTTTCACTGTATGTAAATTTCATATAAGAAAAATGTAAGTACTGAACTCTGGTTAATGATATACATGCTGAGATGTTTAGTAGGAAATGCAGTGATGTCTGTACTTCACTCTGAAATATATTTTAAAAATAAGATGGGTTGAGGAATGGATAATTTGTGATCACAAAAGTATAGTACAACATTAATGGTATAGTCTAGGTGGTAGGTGTGTGGTAGGTATGTTCAATGTTCAGTCTTTCAACTTTGCTATGTCTGTGAAATTTTCCAGGATGAAGTGTCAGGGGAGGGTGGCATGGAGGGAAAGAGCCCTGTGTGCTGGCCTGGTCTGTCTGGAACCAAAGTCACTAGTCCTGATTAGGTGCCCTGCCCCCATAGGGAAGGCATCTTGTGGACACCAGGCTGGCCTGGAGGCTTGGCTCTTTCAGAGTGATGCCCCCAGCTGGTAGCATGCTGGCCGAGACAACCTCTTCTGACCTTGAGGCTTGCCATTTGGGCGGAGAAGGGATTTCCCAGAGGCCGGTCTACAGCAGCTGTAGACCCAGAGCCCCTTTGCCCAGTCTGGGCACTGGGAGTTGGGTGAGGGGCAGTAGAAATAGCACGGGCAAGTTACTGGCTGTGTGACCCTATGTAAGTCACTTTCCCTACCCTAAGTTGCATTTTCCGCATCTGTAAAGTGAGTGATAAACTAGTTTACCTTGTGGCTAGGTGGCTCCTAGTCCTTGTGCCATTCCTCTGTGTTTTCAGAGACCTGAAGAGCAGCCCATTCTTTTTTTTTTTTTTAAGATTTATTTATTTGAGAGAG